CGCTGTATTTAATACGGTAACGCTGTATTTAATATGGTAACGCTGTATTTAATACGGTAAGGCTCATGTTTTTTTCTTGCTGCTTCTTAGGGTTGTATTACTTGTTTTAAGTTTTTTTGTTTGTTTGTTTTATTAGAGAGAGTGAGAGGGTGTGTGTGCAAGCAGGAGAGGGGCAAAGAGACAGAGAGAGGGAAAATCTAAAGCAGGCTCTACAGCTGTTAGTGCAGTCTGATGTGGGGCTAAAACTCATAAACTGTGAGATTATGACCTGAACTGAAGTTGGAGGCTGAACTGATTGAACCACACAGGTGCCCCTGTTTTGTTTTATTTTGTTTTGTTTTCCCCCTGCAAGTGGATCTTGATTTGTTAAACAAAACAAAACAAAACAAAACTTTTAGAGGTTAGTATATTTCAACAAATGTAAACTTCAACTTTATTCTCTTTCACTTATCTCTCAGGAGATTTTTGTCTATAGAGTAAATCCTGGCTTACACAAATATTTCAGAATGATAATTTTCTTCATAGGCTTTTTCTAGTTTCTAAATTGTACGATGCAAATAATACAGAGTAATCTCAAGCCACTGAGCTGGACGCATCTATGCTTTTCAACAAAATAGTATTTGTCTTTTGATTTTTTTTTTAAGTAATATCTATGTACAGCGTGGGGCTCAGACTCAGGAGCCTGAGATCAAGGGTCACATGCTGTACTGACTGAGCCAACCAGGCATTCCAAGTTATTTGTCACCATGCCACTGCTGTTCGTACCAGCAGTCTGAGGACAGCTTCCATAGTTCTCTCTGGTCTAGCCAGACAGCGGGACACAGGATGAAAAGCAGAGATGACTAATGTCCAGGAAAAGACAAGAGCCCCCAAATAAGGGTCCGTCCTCATATTTATTAAGATAAGAAGGCTTACAAATGTGATGGGCATGCACAAAGAGACAGTCAGTCGATGAACATGAACTTGGGGATGTGAGGAAACGGGATTTTGAAGACATACGGTGTTTGGGGTTTGGGTTAATATAAAAAAATCCTGGTGCCAGGCAGATGGGCAGATGGTTGTTAATGGCAGTCAAGAGGCACCCTGTCTGTTTAATTTAGCTAAACACAGAGGATGAGACAGATAGGGGGAATAGTCTCAGGCTTCACAAGACACCTTTTCTCCTGTTAGTCATCTCCGCTCTGGGCCTGCAACACAGTGGTCCATAGTCCACTTCACCAATTTACTTAACTTGGCCCTTTTCTTCTGTGAAAGCAGATTTTCTGCTATAGTACTAAATTGGGGGTGCTTCCACCCTGAATATCTAATCTTGTTTATTTCATATACCTATGTATTGGGCACCTTTACACCCATACCTATTTTGGGTCTTTGCCCCTCCCACTCTATTCTGGGGTTCTGCACCCCCTCTATTCTGGGGTGCCTTTGCATCCCCTGTCTATTTTGGAGTGCCTTACATTCCCTCTCAATTCTGGGTTGTCTTTGTACCTCCCTGTTCTTGGGGTGCCTTTGTACCCCCCTGTTCTTGGGGTGCCAGTCTGGTTTACCCAAACTCTGGTGTGAGCATTCTATGCCTTTGTACTTCTTTATGCCTTGTTAACACATTGGTGTAAGCCCAGGGGATTCCTAAGCCTATGCCCCACAGACAACTATTTGTTATGCCCACCAAAAGGAAATACAATTACAGGGAATATTCTCTACCACAAACCTATTCAGGGAGCATAACAATCAAACTTCATAGTTTGAATGGGAAATCTGTTCCTGCAGTTGGCAGGAAGCATCAGAGAGCCCCAGGTCAAATTGTCTGGAGCCTGAATTTTCTTGATCATTAAATATAAGATGTATATTCACTGTCAACACCAATATAGTTGTCATTTGGCTAACTGGTAAGCTGAGGAGGAAGCCCACTAATCTGAATGGAGGCAACATGGTTCAGCATCTTCAGCAAGGGCCAAAACAATCCTTACAGTCTTGGACCATGAGAGCATAGATTACCAAACTAAATTGCTGAACTTTTTACTTCCAAACCAAGGATACCGTACTTCCATTAAAAAAAATTTTTTTTTAAGTTTAGGGTGGTGATCAATGAAGTGACTAAACAACATGAGTATCGATCACATAGTTAGACCAGAAAAACGTTAAGTTTCAGTCTGATAGTCAAAACCAAGAAGATAACAAGATTGATGGCATAAACTTATTACAGGATAATAAAAATCTGGGTATATTTGACTGAGGGTGTTGGAGAAAAACATTTTAGATTAGGAAAAAGGGTTCAAGATAAGTTTTGGTTTTATTCTACAAGAAGTAATATATTAAAGTAACTAAGAACAAGGGCTTTAGAATCAGCAAGGTCTGGATTCAAATTCCGGCTTGAATCTATACTTGCTGCTGTGACTTTAGGTACGAGGCTTATTCCCTCTAAGCCTTCAAAATCTTCCCACCAAAATAATGGAGATAATATTCACAACCTCCAAATGTTGTAATGATTAAATGAAATAACGTATGTTCAGGAAATTAGAGTTTGGTGCATAATTAGTATTCAATAACTGTAGCAATTAATACTTTTATCACCATGATATCACTTCGCAGGAAGCTAAAAGCCTCAATTGATTTTTCTGTTCTTAGGAGGTATTAACTAAGTTCAATTACTGTTTCTTACTGTTGTTTTCATAATTACTTTTGGTCAGTTTTTGATTGCAAAATCTTATTTTCACATTTGGAAAGCAGAAAAAATAAATGCGATTAGTTTTATTATTCAATACATTAGAATGATTTCAAGATTAGACTACTTACAGGTGGTGCACCTGTTTTAAGTGAGTTTTTAAAATTATTTTTGCACAGGCATTTTTTGTCACATTGTCTCTGAGTATTCCATTCTTTTTTTTTTTTTTTCAACGTTTACTTATTTTTGGGGGGACAGAGAGAGACAGAGCATGAACGGGGGAGGGGCAGAGAGAGAGAGGGAGACACAGAATCGGAAACAGGCTCCAGGCTCCGAGCCATCAGCCCAGAGCCTGACGCAGGGCTCGAACTCACGGACCGCGAGATCGTGACCTGGCTGAAGTCAGACGCTTAACCGACTGCGCCACCCAGGCGCCCCTATTCTTCCATTCTTTACAGATTGGCTATATGACTTTATGACTGTCTATGACTGTCTATGACTTATATAGGCTATTTACATATAGGCCTTTATATAGGCTTACAACTCTTTATTTCTTATTTGCACAGAGCTTGAAGTTCAGGCAGAAGTAAAAATTTAGGTACCTTTTCTTAGCTTGTTCCCTACCCTGGATACCTTTCTCCTTGTAGGTTCCTTGGAATGAATATATGGAAGCTTTCAAAACCCTTAATCCAGAAAGCGTCTCACTCTCAACTTTTCCACTGTCTGTTGTTTGTTGCAGCTGCTATGCTTTGTTGTAGGAAGGATTCATTGGTTCATTTGCCTATCTGTGTTTTCAAGAAATGTTCTCCATTGCTGATTTTGAATTCAGATCTGAGTTACGCACAGTAAAGATAAGCCTTTTGCATTAGTTTTCTTTGGGGGTGCTCCTCCTGACAAGCCAAACAAAATTTTTGAGAACAAGATAAATGTTGTTCTTTCTGGAATAAGGAACCCATGTGACCCATGTAGGCTGCTGTCTTCAAGATTATCACATTGTGGAGTGGGTGGGGGTGGACAATTAAGTTACAGTTTCATGGAGCTTTACTATTTTTATTCATTTGAGTTCTCCTGTGGTTTCAGTAGACCTTTGACTATTCAGAATTTTCAAGATGAGTCTAATTTTTGCCAGTTTTTTTGTGTAGAGATAGGCCTTTAGTCCTGCTTTGACATTTCATTGATGTGCTTTTTCAGCCAAAAATTTCTTATACTTCCCCTAAATGCATTCATAACTTGTGTTTCAAAACACAACATACACAAATGGATGAGATGGTATAAATAGATAAATAATAAATAAGTTTGGTAGTTTGAGAGTGATGGAATGTCTGAAATATTCTGTGGAAAAAACTCAGTATAGCTAAGATTTGGATAAGATTTTGAACACAGTTTTTGTTTCACTATTTGGCCTTGTAATACAGAGGCATGTAAGGGAAAAATATTTTGGTATTTAGGAGATGTAAATACTTAAGGATTAATTAAAGACCTAATTATACCTAGTAATTGCCTGATAATGGGATAATGTGACTTTAGAGAACATCTCTGAAGAGTGCTTATTAGTTTCAGGGCAAATGAATCTTTTTGTTTGTTTCTCTTGGACTTAATTATTTATTTTTAAAAATGTTTTAATGTTTATTTATTTATTTATTTATTTATTTATTTATTTATTTTTATTAAAAAATTTTTTTTCAACGTTTATTTATTTTTGGGACAGAGAGAGACAGAGCATGAACGGGGGAGGGGCAGAGAGAGAGGGAGACACAGAATCGGAAACAGGCTCCAGGCTCCGGGCCATCAGCCCAAAGCCCGACGCGGGGCTCGAACTCCCGGACCGCGAGATCGTGACCTGGCTGAAGTCGGACGCTCAACCGACTGCGCCACCCAGGCGCCCCATTATTTATTTATTTTTAAGAGAGACAGCGTGTGAGTAGGGGAAGGGCAGAGAGAGAGGGAGGAGACACAGAATCTGTAGCAGACTCCAGGCTCCAAGCTGTCAGCACAGAGCCTGATCCAGGGGTTGAACTAGGGAATTGTGAGGTCATGACCTGAGCTGGAGTTGGATGCTTAACTGACTAGGCATGCAGGTGCCCCATCAGGGCAGATGAGTTTTAATCTGGATTATGAATAATTAATATTTTGAGTTACACTGTTCTCTCTACCCAAGAGAAGATTTGCATTCAGAAATAACATACTTCCTGAGGTACCATGAATACTAAGTCTTTACTCCTAAAGCAAAGCAGATAGTATGTCCTGACAATAGTTGTCTTCCTGTATGTGCCTGGCTTAGTTTGTCTTCATTCACCCCATCATGCTTCATTCTTAGTCTGGCAAATCTCTTACCTAACAGGAATATGCGACCAGTGGTTGGAATCTGAATGTAATGCCAGTGCTTGATCAGTCTGTTCTGTGCCACATCAATGCAGACATCTCAGGCATGAAGGTTCCCTGGCTCTATGTAGGCATGGTATTCTCAGCATTTTGTTGGCATATTGAGGATCACTGGAGTTACTCTATTAACTATCTGCACTGGTGAGTTGGGCCCAAATGGCTGGGATGGATATTAAGACTTCTGCCATGTGCAAGGATATGCCCAGACTCTATGTCTCCTCTTTACCTGAGCAGGGGTGAGCCGAAAACCTGGTATGGGGTACCTTCACTGGCAGCAGAGCAGTTGGAGGAGGTGATGAAGAGGCTGACACCCGAGCTATTTGATAGCCAGCCTGACCTGCTACATCAGCTTGTCACACTCATGAATCCCAACACCCTCATGTCTCATGGTATCCCAGTGAGTACCTGGAAATAAGGTGCAAAACAGATTTAATGCCTGTCCTAGTGTGGGAAGGGAATAAGGAAGAACTTCCCTTTGGAGTAAATAAAGTTACATGCATTTTGATATAGAGATCAGGTTTAGTCTCATATGTCTCTTTTCTTGTCTGTACTGCGGTCAAGCTGCAATCCTATTTGGAGAACTAGTATATCATTAAAAGGAAGAGAAAGGATAGTTATTAATTAACATAAAAGTTAAAAGCTGGACTGTGATACTCCTAGGCTAGGATTGGTTTTCTGTTAACATCAATGGGTATAAATTCTAATTTTATGAAGCTTAAATTGGAGTCAAGAAGTGGTTTCAGATTTGAGAATATCAAGGATTGATTTATATTAGCCAATTTTGCAAAAGCCAGCAGTCCTGTAGAAGGTAAAGCAGTGCACTATCTCTGCAGCATGCTGTAATTTTCTGATATGTACTTCTGTAAGGTCTAGGTCAATTTCTGTACAATTTCTTTAATAACTCCTGTCCGTTTTTGTTTTCCATCTTCATAAAATGATCTTGGCATCTTCAGGGCTTCCCTCCATTACAGACATTCTATAAATTCTTACTTGCATGTGATTTTCCTTCTTTAACATCACTATTGTCTCATAAAAAACAGGTAAGTCTGAAAATTGATGTATAATGAAATCAGACAGCTGTTTAGTTGCACCATTTGTCCTCTCTCCTGCTTCTTGCTAATGTTTTTTTCTCCCACATATATTCAGCACATAGTTTTTTATGGTATTCTCTTACCTCTTTTTTATTTCTGTTAACTTGGCAGTAGTATACCACTTTCATTTCTCATTTGAATAGTTTGAGTCTTCAGGGTACCTGGGTGGCTCAGTCAGTTGAGCGTCCAGCTTCAGCTCAGTTCATGATCTCACAGTTAGTGAGTTCGAGCCCCATGTCGGGCTCTGTGCTGACAACTCAGAGCCTGGAACCTGCTTCTGATTCTGTATGTTGCTCTCTCTCTCTGCCCCTCTCCCACTCATGCTCTGTCTCTCTCTTCTCCAAAAATAACTAAACATAAAAGAAAATAATTTGAATCTTCCTCAAATTATAATAATTATATAAAAGATATATCTTTGCCTTAATGTAGCTAAAGGTACATCAGTTTTGTTACTCATTTCAAGGAATTAGCTTTTGGTTTTGTTCATTCTGTGTTATTTTTCTCTTCTGTATTTCATTTATCTTCTTGATAAATTTAGCTTTTATCCATATATAATTATCTCAGTTATCAGTATATCCTTCAGTTCAGTTATTTACTTCAAGCCTATATTTTCTGTTACTATGTAGTCACTAGCTCTCTGTTAGTCACCATTATACGTGGAATAAATTTCTCCACTGTTGCACTTTTAAACTATTTCTATCCAGATTAGTTTCTAATTGACAAGAGTTGAACAGTGTTTTCTGTTCATTCTGTAGTTTTTCTGAGTGTGATTTTTAAAATTACCTGTAATTACCAGTAGGGAAGGATTTATTTCTGCCATTCTGTTGTTTTCTATCATATCTTTTTTTGATCCTCAATTCTATTACTTTCTTCTCTGTTGTTAATTGGTTTATTCTAGTATATTGGTTTAATGCCTTTGTTTATTGTTAATGTTTTAGTTATTGCTTAATGGTTTGTTTGGTGATTACAATTACTATTTTAATTTATATCTTTGTAATTTAAATTAATGCCAACTTATCTTCAGTAGTAAATTTCAAAAAAAAAAAAAAACAAAACAACAACACCTTTATTCCTTGGTAGCTCTGTATTCTTCCTTTCTATTATTCTAACAAATTACATCTTTATGCATTCTTTGTCCATTAACATAGTTTTATATTTATTGTTTATGCACTTTCCAGTTACAAAGAAAATAGAAGTCATGAATAAAAATACAATACTGGTTTTTACATTTGTCTATAGAAATACCAGATAAAGTACTGGAATGCTCTTTCATCTCGAGGATTTTCCTATAGCATTTCTTATAGAGCATATCTATGAGAGATAAACTTCCTCAGTTTTGTATTTACTCTAGTAGGGTCTTAATGTCTTTTCTCTTTTCTTTTCTTTTTTTTCTTTCTTTTCTTCTTTTCTTTTCTCTTCTTTTCTTCTTTTCTTTTCTCTTTCTTTTTTCTTTTCTCTTTTTTCTTTTCTTTTCTTTTCTTTTCTTTTCTTTTCTTTTCTTTTCTTTCTTTTCTTTCCTTTTTTCTTTTCTTTTCTCCTTTTCTTCTTTTCTCCCCTCCTCTCCCCCCTCCCCCTCCCCCTCCCCCT